AAAAACACGAAATGACAAGATTAAGGACTTCACGGGATGGGTGACCTAATCTAGAATGCCACTCGGAGAGAGACGTCTTGACACTTTGTGGGCGTATTATTGGACGAATCGGAAAGGGAAGAGCACGACCATTCGTACACACCATTCTTAAGTGGTCCGCTTGCTAGGATTACCCCCGTGTTGAGATCCTTCACCTGAAATAAATGAGAGAAAAATTCTACAGGTACGTTATTAGAGGCATAATTGACGGATAGACAAAAGATTACGGTGCATGGTCGGGACATAGAGAATGTTATGAAGCTTAAGAGGTAAAATGGTAGAAGGAAGAATTGTGGAACCAGTGTGTGTTATGGCAAGCCCCGAGCCATCACCAATGACAACTTCATCTCCTCCATGGTATGGTGAATGCAATGAGAGGTTCGCCAAGTCTGAGGTGACATGGTGTGAAGCTCCGGAGACAAGCAACCATGGGGACGGTGGTGACGGAGGAGCAACAACAGCATGATGTGCATTGGGACGCCATGGAGAGTAGACGGAATTCGGTGCCGAGGACTGATCTGAAGGTCGTGGAACCGACGACGGGAGGAGATGGCAGTTCCGTGCACTGTGACCTTGGACACCACACAATTGGCATTTACCAAGGTATGGCGAGGAGATCCATGGTCATATGTCTGACCATAGGGCTGATTTGGTGCCGGACGAGGAGAGTAGCCGGAATTTTGCCAACCACCACGAGGACGCCAGGGCGTGCGGCCACCGGTGTGAGCAATATGCGCCGAGATAGGTATGTCCGAAGAGTTGGAAGCAACCAAATCGGCATCATGTGTGAGGAGCCTTTCATGAAGCTCGACGAACGAGATAGTCGTGTCATGAGCATGGACTGCATCTTTCACGGATTTAAACTCGTCACCTAGACCGGCTAGAATGAGGTCAATGAGATCTTCATGATCCATGGGTTTTCCGAGCAATGCTAGTTCATCCGCTTTTATCTTGAAGAACCGCATGTAGTCGTCAACGGTTTTGGAGCCTTTGGTTTGTCGGCGCAGTTGTTCCTTAATTTGCTTGACATGACCACGGCTGGACCGACCGTAAGTGTCGGCTAGAGCTTTCCATGCGGCTGCGGAGGAGGAGGATGTCGCGACCACCGCTTGACAGGAGGCGGATATCGAGCTGAGAAGAGCCGAAAACACAAGTCGATCCTGACGATGCCAAGGGACATAAGCCGGATTCGGTGTGATGACATCAGAGGTGATGATCGTTGATGCCGGTGCGGCAGAGGGATCGAGATAACAATCGAGATTGTAGCCTTCCAAGAGAGCTTGGAGTTGAATGCTCCAAGTAAGATAGTTTGTTCCGTTCAGTTTCGAAATATTCGATACATTCACATTGATCAATGTGGATGCGGGATCAGCGGGATTGTGAGGAGTGACATTGTCACTAGGGAGAGTGTCGGAGCTGGAGGGGCAGTCGGCGGCCATGATTGACGACGGTGGTTGCTAGAGGTAGCAGCGAAAGAGCAGAAGATGAGAAAAAAATAGGGTTTTTGAGGGTAGAATTTTCTTGGGACAATTTTAGGCTCTTGATACCATGATAGACTTTAGAAAATATTATTCATTGATTATTAGCACAAGTGATACACAAAGTTATATACACGTTCAGCATGAGAAAAAATAGGAAATGAAGTTACAGCAAATCAAATCTAGAAGATATTTTTTCATATATACAGTAACCGCTAATATTATTTTCTTCTAAATCCGATTCCTTATGATTCCACTACATTTTATCGCAAAGTCTTATTTACCTCACCCAAATGCGCACTAGGAGGTAGGGTTGGGAGTTTCGGTTCGGTTCCACATAATCGAACCATACCAAACCGAAAACTGTGGTATTTTTTTAATCAACTTTCAAAATTCTCGAACGGTTTAGAAAACCGAATTTTCTAAAATCGAACTGAACCGAAACGAATCGAATTTTAAATTTTTTTAAAGATTTATTTTTTTTTAATAAAAACCGGAACATTTATTCCTTCAATTGGACCGGACCATTTCAATTTATAAAATTGTACTTTTTTTGATAAAAAAAACAATTATGTTATAAGCTTGTTTTCGCTTACTCTTATTAAAAGCAAACATTTATTCCATCAACATCTTTCAGAAAATGGGTGCACATTCGTTCACGGACAACCAGGGTTTTGACCAGGTCCGCCGAAGTAGATGTAAGTTCTCCAGTTAGGATCATTACTCCCATGAGCTAAATTGTAACATTTTGCATTATCCACGATGATTTGACCGATCTCGGCTTCCCTCTTGACGTGGTGCTCGTCGACTATGGAAATGTGGTGCATGCTGCACGACTTCTTGAACCCTTCCTTCGCGAAGTGGCCACTTCCCATGTCGGTGTTTGTGTGTCGGCCGCCTACTTTAAAGTTCAAGATCTCGCCTCCCCATTCGACGGCCGATGCAGAGCCCTTTAGATGCGACAAGATTGATTTCGGCCAATACCCGACACTCACATCATTCACTATGAGCCACCAATCTCCACTCTGGGGATCCTGCAAAACCATTACTTCTCTATATAGTTATATATGAAGTTTTTTTTTAACGTGATTTAGGCCAAAGAATCAAGATTTCTCTCTTTTTACCTTCATTATAAGTAGTGTGACTTTAAATTGATTGCCGTTGTAAGTTGAAACTTGGTCAAAGGCACCACCAATACCAATCGCTTGGTTGGTTTGGACAAAGCCGGAACAGGCGTGGTTATAGCAGCCTGTTTTGTAACCATCAGGCTGTTTTTTTGTTGAGTTTCCCATTTCATCATCATACACGAGAATGGCTTTTTAGCTATGTCGTATGTCGATATGGGAAAATACGAGAAAATATTAGACCATGCTCAAGCAAACTTACGGTCCATAAAATAAAGAGGCGGGGGTTATCGTCACCGTACAATCTTGGATACACCTATGAACAAATGTTTTTGAATCATGGCTTGAGTCAAAGTCGGAATCATAAATGATCGGAGACATGAATGAAACAAGGCCAACGGACAAAAACCTGCCAACCAGCTTCGAGGGAATTAAGATCCGGAGTATGAACTCCGCCCAAAATCCACATCTGGGCCAAACTAAACTCATCCCATTCTTGAACATATGGTTTCCACACGCTGATTGCGGCTTCTATTCCGTTATATATTCCTCCTACCTTCCCTCGAATTGTGGCATACTGATGCAAAAAAGGGTCAGTGACAATAATATACTTGGGGATTGAATGCTTGTGAGATTGCTAACAAAAATATATATACCTCATGTTTAGTGAGTTGGATATTTGCAACTGGGTGAGATCCATAGTTACGGATGCTATTTGGATCCTTTTTCCCGTAACTTTCGATGGAACCCCATCGTAAGAGATCTTCCCTTGTTGTTCTCCTTATTGGAACGGTGTTTTCAGGACATTTTCCACTCATTTGCCATAACTGAGTACTAATGAACCCCGATTGTTTTTTATCGTTTCTAAAAAGATCTTTTGGGATAAAACTCGGTCTCATCTATTTGGCATTTTTCCCATCCGAACGACACAAAAGAAATAATGTAAAATAAATAGCAAATCAATACTATATATAGAGAAAGTATCAACAAAAAAAAGATTCAAAAGGAGAAAAGCAAAACAACTTATAAAAATAAATACCTGAATAGTGTGGTTCTTTAGTAAAGGATGATCAAACGCGAGTTGGTTGGTGATATTAACACAATCAAATATATCTCCATCTAAACTCTGTTCAAACACCAACATGAAAAGTGATACACTAACATAACATAATCAAAACATGAACGAATCCCGTCACGAAATCTATATATAAGAATTAAGAAATTTTATAATTTATATATGTACTTATATACATATACCTTGATGGATTTGACAGCGGGCTTATTGATTCGTTTCAAGTGTCTTTGAATCTCAACTTCTTGTAGTTCTGAAAGCTCTCTCCTTCCGGAGGAGGTTGTGATTACCAACGCCGTGATTACAAGAAACAGCATCGAACTGACAGTCTGATGAAACATGAAGACATGAGAAGCCATTCAAAAAGACAATATCAAACGCTTTGTGATTGGTGATATGTTCCCAATGCTTGGGATTGATATGCATAGAATTGGTTTATTAAATAGAATTTTTTTTGGGAATCTTTGTGATTGGTGCTGTCTCTTGAATTTGGATTATGGTTTCTATTTTTAATATATTTCTTTCTATTTCTGCAAATCCAACGGACATATTATTTATATATATAGGGATTGCTGATTTGTTTCTTGAAATAAATTAATTATAATCTCCGTTAACGCCGTAATATAGTGTGCAATTTTATTGGATATTAAAGGTTAATTATGAATACTCAAATAGGATATCAATGTCTATAAATTTGGATTCTAGATCAGGTTACTCAATATAAAGATACATTGAATATTCGGAAAACTATTATAATATTATTATGTATTACTTGAATTTAATTTTGTTTTTCTATTTAAATATTTATATTCGTTACATAATACATATTACGATTGTATCTCCGAACCGTTTTATGATAACTTAAGATCGATGCTGGATTTATCATCAACCAGTGGTTATGCTTCATGCCCGACATTGAGATCTCAAAAAACGTAGCCACCGGGTAATAGGCCTCATTCATCCGATAAGCCACACCGTTCATGACATATCAGATACAACAAATTAAATTAAATTAATTATTATTAATTTAAGGGCGTTTTCTATGTTATTTGATTATTATTTATCGCTCAATGCCGGAAATAAAAGATTGATCTTTAATTCAATTATAAATTAATGTTGCAATCAAAGTCAAAAATCCATTTTCATGTTCTCTGTATTGAGAGGAAGCATAAAGATATGCACCATTTTGTTTCCGAAATATTTGCCATTATCATAATCATGTGATGATGTGATCTATTGATACAGTGCCGAAATTACCCTTCTCCCGTGATCAATTTCGCACGAAGATAAAAAAAAAACACAAACATAAATTCCGAAGATTTTATTATCTTGTATATAAACTACACACTCCGAATCGATATAAATTTAAACTGTGGTGTGTATATATATGTATGTGTGTGTGTGTACACGAGACATGCATGCATGCATGCATACATACACGCATTCAAGGGCAATTAGGGTTTCGACCAGGACCACCGTAGAAGAAGTAACTTCTCCAAGGACCGCCACTTCCACTCTTGACATTGTAACATCTTTCTTGATCAGCGAAGACTTGAAGTCCAACTGGATCTCTAAGAGTGTTGGATCCATCAACTGTCTGGACATGACTGAAGTAGCTTGCCTTTTTCCAACCTTCCTCGGCAAAGTGCCCACTCCCCATCTGAGTCGTCGTGTGTCGCCCGTCTTCCCGCGAATTCACGACCTCGCCTCCCCATTGTATCATCGACGCACTGTCCGATAGGTGAGTGAACAGCGAGGCCGGCCAGTACCCTATGACGTATTTCTTGCCCATTTTCAGCCACCAGTTCCCTTCTTTCGGGTCCTGAAGAAGGGTTTCATTCAACGAAATAACATATATATAACGTAAGACATTGAATGGAAGCAAAATACTAACCCTATCAGAAAACCAAGACTAATCATATTAGGAATATAATTTCATAATAGATAACTCTAACTATCAATGATTCCCAATAGTTTTGGTTAAGCATTGGTTTGAATGACCGGAGATGAAACTGTTATTACCTTCCAGATAAGTATGGTGATATCGTATTGGGAGCCGTCGTAGCTCGAAATGGGAGAGATAGATCCGCCCAAGGCGATATCTTTGTTGGTCTGAACAAAACCCGAGCATAGAAGATTGTAGCATCCTGTTCTTTGGTATGCATCGCTCTGCGTTAAAGGACAAAAAGAATGGTCTAAAAAGTTCATACATCATCAGGAAAGAGCCTGAAAAATCAAATCAAATTCGTATAAACTTGCAGTCCAATAAGTGAAGAGCCTCGTGTTACTGTCGCCGTACAACTGCGGGCTGACCTGCGAACAGCAACACAGAGACAAAACAAAGAACACGAGTTTAGAGAGATTAGAGAGAATTATGACAAACAAATAAGGGTAAAGAACAAGACCTGCCAACCAGCTTCGATGCTGTTGAGATCAGCGTCGAAACTACCACCCAATACCCAAATCTGTCCCAAGCTGAACTCGTTATGCATTTGGACAACGGGCTTCCAGACATTCATCTTGGCTTTGGCGCCGTAAAATTTCCCCTTCTCCACGTAGACTATGGCATGCTAAAACAGCAGAAAGCAGAACATGTCAATGGCGGTATAACATATGAGAGATGAAAAAGACTGCGATAGAGCACATTTCAGATGTATATGCATATATACCTGATGGTTATTATGTGTGAGGACACTTGCAGGATCATAGGACTTGGGTTGAGGGATGCTTTTTTTGTTCTTTTTCCCGTAATTCTCAATCGAATTCGCCCGAGTGAGATCTTCTCTTCTTGTTCTTCTTATTGGAACGGTGTTTTCCCGGCATTTTCCGTTCATATGCCAAAGCTGAGATAGAACATCCTTGGACTGTTTTGTGGTATTCGACGAGACCTTGCTCTCTGCAAAAACTTCTTCTGGGTGGAAACTCGGCTTCATCTACTTGCAATAGTCAATGTCGGAACATGAACACGATCAGAGAGAGAGAGAGAGAGAGAGAGAGAGAGAGAGAGAGAGAGAGAGAGAGAGAGAGA